AAGAGACGAATAATTTACTGTTAATCTTGTGTTTAAATTACGGAAAAAGACTATTGATAAGACTACCAACCAAAAATATCAGTAATTTCAGAATCCAAATGACAATCCAAATCGTCTGAATGGTCTGAAAAAAAAAAAAAGAAATTTTATAACAAATTTCAATCAAATAATGTAGATAATAATAACTGTTAAATATGATGACATACGAATTCTTGCACAGAACGCAACCATATGGTGGTAAGTATCGGGAGAATAATTTTCAGGTTCTGGTAAACTTTGGAATTCTAAATGTCGCGTTGTATAAAAAGCTTCTGGATGTATCCATGATAGACCATCTTTTAATTTTCCTTCTTGATCGGCGATGTTAAACTCAGCAGCGATATCTGATGCAGAATCATTACATAGATCCAACCACCATTGCACCCAAATATAAACTTCTTCAGCTTCAGGACGGTTTTCAATATTTGCATCCCAACATCTTTTAATTAATTTAGCCAAAGATTTTGGCATATTTTGATCAATATGTGGTCTAAGTCCACAACAAATTCTTTGAGCCAAAAATTTATCATGTGCATTAAGATCAAAAGGTGGTCGTTGAGTTGCAATTTCCCACATAACTATACCTAAGCTATATATATTAGCAGATTTACTTAATGGTCCACCACGTAATACTTCTGGAGCGATGTAAGGAAGCACACCATATATACTACTAGAATGTGATATCGTTGGAGAATCATCACCCATGTTGAGCATATTTAATTCAGTGATTATTATCGAATTCATTTGCCTTAATATATTTCCAGTATGAAAATTTCTATGAATTGAATCAGATTCATGAATTCGATGAAGAACCAAAGCAATATCGGCAATTATTTCTAATTTCGTTTTCCAATCATGTTCTGGAAAAGGTATCTCTTTATATAAGTAGCTTCTAAAATCATTTTCTATGCAACGAATCACTAATGCATAATCTCGAGTGCTAGGATGCTGAGTGATTCCATAACATCTTATTAGACCACTTCGGCCATTTTTATGAGATATTAACTAAAAAAAAGAAAACAATGAAATATTCACATTAGCATAAAATAAAACTATGGATTATTAACGTAAGTTACCAAAGTGGTAAGTTACCGCAATTACAGCATAAGCTGTAACAGTTTTTTACAGTACATTAAACCATGACACAGGGAAAGTGTCTACCATCACAAAACTTTCCGATAATGGCCACATTTTTTAAGCATTTAGTAACTTACCGCGGTAACTTACCACGGTAAGTTACCACTAACAACCCTGATTAAATAAAAAAAAAAAAATTACCTCGTTAAGAAATTCAGAAATATTAATTGAAGAATTTTGGATAATCTTTATAACAAATTTTGTTCCAGAATCACAACGCCCCCAAGTTCCTCTTCTACTATCCCAATGAGTAATATAACCATCCATCCACAAAGCGGAATAAGTAGAACCGAAACGTCCTAACCCGACATGTTTAATTCTTGAGAATCTTTCCCAAGGGATCCACTCTAGAATTTGAGAACAACCAATTGCGGTCGATTGAGCAGTCGAAATGAAATTATCAATGTCCTTATTTCCACTACTCCAAGTACCAAAATTTTTTGAATTACATTTTCTACACCATTCTGCACTAGTTTTAGGAGATTGGCATTCTTTACATGTACCATATATATCAATATGTTGTTTAATTTCTAAATCATCAAATAAAGATGATTTAGAAGATGAAGAAGTTCGATTAGAATTGATAGAATTATAATCATCTCCTGACGAAGAGCTACTACTATTTCTCGAGTTCGTTGCCATTTTTTGTAAGTACTTTTTTTTTATATATTAGCAGTTTAAGTAAACTAAAGGAATTGATAGTAATTAATGACATCAAAAGCCAATGATTTTGATTGAATGAAGCCCGCAAAAAAATCAATGATTTCTATTGAAGAAATAAAATTATAAAATCTAAAGGAATGTTTAAGAGAGTTTCGAAACATTATTGGAACGAAACCATGATTATGGAATCCAATTCCTGAAATGCTAAGGAAATCTTAAGTAAATGAATGGATTAATGCTATAGGTTCACCATAGTACATTGAATGTTTACACCAATATAAATAATATTACTCGCGATTGTGTTTTGATCATAATCCAAATTTAGGCATCCCACATTTATTAAGAGATTTCTATTGTGTATCACATGTAAAGATGATTGTTTTATTGGTACATTAAATTAGATTAAGATTTGTCATACATTAGTATTTTGCATAAGCATTACTGCATTATGATACGTTATGATCATGTGACCAATCAAATATTTTTCACAAAAATTCAAAGAACAGGCCCTGCATTTATTATACGAAAAGACAATTATTAGTCTCAAAAAGGAAAAAGAAATTTTGTTTGTTCCTTTTTTGTTTTACTTTTAAAACGATGAGGCTGAACTTAATTTTCGAAAATCTTTAAAATTATAAATACAATATATACTGTATTTCCTTTATTATTATACAATATATACTGTATTTCCTTTATTATTATACAAAAACTTACAATGTTTATCGTATGATCATATTTATCATGAAAAAGTTATCGAATTTTCTTTTTAAATGCCACGAGAATTTTTAGTCCGTGCGTTACGGTAAAGCAATTCCAATAAAATTGTTTAACCGGTAACCATATACGTATAACCTGCAAGGTCTATACAGGTTAGAACCTTTTAACGTTAATGAAATAAAAAGAGAAAGAAAACACACTATAAATATTATTACGTATCAAAAAAAGAAATGTATAATTATATTTATCTGTGAGATAATTTTTTTTTAAACGAAGTTCAGGAGCTTAATTACATAATCACAGTATCAGCACAGTATCAGCATAGCATCAACATACTGCGTATCAGCACAGTATTACCTAGTCATACTACTGATTTCTTTTAAAATGATTCTTGCAGTTCAGGTTGTTATCACCCGATCCGAATTTTATATTTAACTATTATAGAAACCGATTGATGAATGGAGTTAAGTAAACCGTTAAAACTCTAAGCTATAGAGATGTATTATCTCAAATCTATATATATATTACATATCAAATTTATGACACGCAGAACACTACATATTAATAATATTATTTAAATCTAGCATATATAATGATAATAAGACATATCAAAGAGAGTAATAAACTTATTAGTAAAATTATCTAAATATATCTCAAGGTGTATTTTAATTCAGAGAACAAAATGAATCATCTTTTTGTAATAATTATAATTATTCCTTCTTAACAACTTGAAACACTTCATAATCCTCAATAGAAAAAAATTGCCGCGTATCAAGTATTTTTTTGTTATAATTAAAATGCACACATTTTCCCTCGAACCACCAAAAATCGTTTCCAAATCCAATAGAAGTGTTAACTGTCGAAGAATCTCTTATCGCGAAATCTGCAAATCTAACTCTACTCAAAATATAATTACTTGGATCTTGTGCATTATTCCCAAGAGAGAATATAAAACTTTCGGTAGTTCGAATATATCTATCCGATGATGTCCAAGAGTTTGGATTATATCCGCCAATAAGTTCTCCTGTTCCCATAACTTTGATCAAAACTATTGTGGCACCTTTAAAATCGCAAAGCTCATGAAAAGTTATAACACCTCTACCGTCTCTACTACCACGAAGCAAAAGTTTAAATTCATGAGAGATATTTGAGCTTGTGGTCGGTATTTCGTTGTCTTCGTGATTAATCCAATTAGCGATAAGAGCAGCGTGTAAGCCGGTAAATCCTAATTTAGATTTTGGCGAATACTGTGCGATTCTTGGTGATAATGCACATGAGGGTGGCTTAATTCCAGGCACGATGTAAAATCTTGTTAATGATTGTTTAAGATTTCTTGGAAGAAATTTTTTGAATGGCCAAATTTTATCATAGAATTTATCCTCAGGTACGTCGAAATATCGGATTAATGGTAAAAGTTCTTTTAATCTTATATGTAAGGTATCGTAATGTTGACGAGTCCAATTTGAAATATCAGGATTAAGTTGCGGATGTTGTTCTATTCCCCACCTAATCATATGGTCCCAAATGTCAATTTCTCCCATGGCGATATCATCTCTTTTTAAGACAAATATCATACAAGATTTTTCCAACGTAACAAAATCCTTTGAATTAAAAAGTAATTCAGGTTGTTTACTAATAAGTTCACCACAATGCTCTCGAAGTAGATGAAATTCATCATGCCTTAATGCAACTTTAAAGACTTTGACAAGATTCTCGTGCAACCATCCGGTCTCGTCAGAAATAATATGCTCTTGAACGTAATTGACTAATTCAAAGAGTCCAAATTCATCTGAAGCGATCAATATATCAAGAAGAATATCATTTTCTTCGAGGGAACACGTTCCAGTGTAGATGTATCTTTTAAATTTACGATTTAACGTTAATAATTATTCTTAAAAAGAAAATGCCTCTATATTTTTTTGCAAACTGAACATACTTTAAGATAATATCGAAGACCTTTGGTGAAATATTAGGTTTATTAAAATATAATGCATCACATTGTGTGTTAAATTCATGATTATATTGTGACGGTATTTTCTTGGCCCAATTAGACGATAACGCAACTCTGAAATAAGAAGATCTCGATCGTAAAATCACCGTATGCGCTTTAAAAACTCTAGCATCATCGCCTTGTCCGGCAGTGATAATAACGTTATAATCATCTGCATCAATATATAAACGGGAAATATCGTCCAATAGAGTAGCAGAAAGGTTCAATGGCATTGTTTTCAAAAAAGAATTAAAAGGCTAAGTAGGGGTATGATTTGATTCTGTACTTGATCTTTTATAAATTGCCAATTTAAACCTAGCAAACCAAATTTACATTATCAAATAAAGTGTATTTGCGTAATCTATATTTATACATGCGTATTCTATGTGTATATTATGTATATTATATGTTAATATTCATGAAATTATCAAGAATCTGAAAAATTCAGTCAAAAGAAATTGTTTCGTTGAGCGATCCTTAAACCATTTTGACGTCGTACTAAAATTCAACGTGTGATTGGCCTATAGTAAATCAGATCGTGTTCACACAGCTCTGAGTCATAGTTACGTATTGTGTAACTACGCCCAATCACCACACATACCACCATCATGCGGTCGAAACTATTGTCTTTTTGGCCATCGGTTAAGATTTTTTTCGTTTATAGTAATAGTAATAGTTATCCGATTAACGATACAACCGTCAAATCATTATTAAAACATCAAAACGTGTTTTTTAGTACGTATCAGGAATTCTTTCGTAGATATATGGAGTTTCCAATTTCTGCTCAATAAAGCATAAAATAATATCATATTTAAATTATTAAAGTCTTATAGGTAGCTACCGAAAATAAAATTAGGGCTTGGAATGAGGCAGAACATATGGGCTTGGTGCTGGAGAAAGAGACGAAATTGACAAAAAAAAAAATTCTTCACAAAAAATTAATTATCTCGTGAACTATCGATCAAAATCATACGATTCTGATCGATAGTTCACGAGAAGATTAATTTTTTGTGAAGAATTTTTTTTGTCAATTTCGTCTCTTCTCCAGCACCAAGCCCATATTATATCAGTCTAGAATATTTATGCCGGAATGTCTACCATTGGCAAGTGATCCCCACCGTCTACTTTAAAGTCCTGGCTTTATGTAACCTACGCTATGGTTTTACCTCTATACTTGCACCATTGAATTGCTACAGTTACCTGGCCCTTATAGGGTTCACCTTAACCTCGGTCCCTTATTTTACATCTTATCCTTAGCTTCCAATCCAGATAACCTGGAAGGATTCTATCTTTTTTCTCTAGTAGCAATAGTATTTGGTGATTTGGTTGATATATCAGTTTTCTGTTATCTTTGTATTTAGTTTATTTGTCTTATTTTCTAGATCTAGCCTTTACAGTAGTTATAATAGTATTTATATATATATATATTAGATTTTGTTTTCTTTTTTTTTGTTTTTTCTATCTTTATTTTTTATATTTTATTCTTTATTTAGTGTGCTCTTTTCTCCTTTTTTTTATCTTTATATCCTTTTTCTTTATATTCTTTTTATATATTTTTTTTATTATAAATAAATTATAATTTAGTTTTTCTGTCAAGATCTAGATAGAAAAAATTTAAAGAAAAAAAATAATCATAACAGGCTAGTAAATTCTAGCTAGTAAATTGCAAATTTAAAATTTGAAGTAAATCAAAAAAAAAGCAAAGAGGCTGCTTCTACTTTGACAAGTTATATTAGATACTTTTTAGTAACCAAATAAGCTATATTTTAGTATAACACAGCTAAGCTGTATATAAAAATTACTATTATAAAACTTGTTTATTCTGTAGTTAAATAATAAAATTATAATATAATTACTTAGAAAAAAAAATAATAATTAAAAAATGATTACTTTATATAATTATCATAATTAGTTACATATATATAGAATTGAAGCTATTTCTAAAATTTGATTAATAAAATATTATATTAGTTAATTATAACAATATTTGTTAATTTGAGATAATGTTTTTTTAAACCTGAACTAAACTAAACTTTGGTCAAGTTCAGGTTTAGGTTCAGTTCAATTATGTTTAATATTAAACTTTTAAATCAAGTTTATATTCAATTCAGGTTTAGTATTAAATTTTTAAGTTAGGTTTATATTTAGTTTAGATTTAGTATTGAATCTTTAAATTAGGTTCATATTCAATTCAGATTCAGTAGTAGTTTAGTGACAAAATATAGTAAATTTTTTTTTTATTGTCTTAAGAATTTTCAAATTTGAAGATTTTTAAAAAAATCTTTTTTCTTTACTAAGTAAATCTATTTTTAACTTCTAAGAAAAGTTATAGAAAAGTATCTTGTGATTAGAATGGTAGTTAAAATATTAAAATTGGCCTAGTAAATCATGAGTTATAAGTATTTTAGTTCTTGTAACTATATATTTTCTTCATTATATAAATAAAGAAAAAACAAATAGCTATTATAACAAAAATACTTATATCTTGTGATCTACTAGGCCAATTTTAATTAATTAATTGCTATTTTGATTACAAGTCACTTTTCTACAACTTTAATTAGAAGTTAAAGAGAGATTTACTTAGTAAAAATTTAAGATCAATAATATTTTGTATAATTTTATTAATAAAATTA